TTATCAATCCTTTTTTGTTCAGTATCATTTTGCTCTATGAGGTGAATTCATATATCTTAAGGAAATGTGACATATTGCCAAGGTACATTATAAAGTACAGAGAGAACAAATTGGGGCATTTTACTTTTCCATTCATTTTTTCTTATTTGTTATTCAGCACATGGACAATGCCAATGTTGTAGCCTCATTTCAATATTCCAGAGGCAAGACTGACTTTTCTATTATCTCCTTAAGACAGGCAATGAATTGATCTCGAATCGTACGAAAGATAACGACCATAAATCACATAAAATACGGGCTGATGATACAAACGAGACCATGATTTATGGACGGTGTAATTAGGAAAATAACCGAAAGGGGATTTCGTTGCTCTTTAATTAAAGGTTTGTTTCTTTTTAGTGGTGTTTCCAGGTGACGCGTCGTTATGGTTGCTAGGGTAATCACACTGGATGATAAGAAACATGTAAACATTAGAGACAATAATGAAGGTGTGACTGTTGAATGTATCAATCAAAATGATATTCATGTTGTCGAATGTTGAGCCTGTAAAAGGGTAGGAGGTCCTATCACATTATGGTCCTACTCTCCATTGATTTATATGGTGACCTCTTTCCCCTATTATCTTATACACAATCAGGGCCAGTAAGGGCCGTTAAGAAGGGGGGGGGGCATACTCCCTGGGGGACAATAATTTCTTTCAAATCGGCACAAATCTGGAGAAATGTTAAGCCTCTTGATGAATGATAATCTTCGAATATCAGTTCTACTTTGTGAAACACGTTGTCGTGGATGCGTTTTACAACTTACTTAGTGTTGCTTTGGTGATTGCCGATTTAACATTGTAATACAATGCCAAACAGTGAAATTGCTAACTTGGTTTCATGAGCCATTAGAAGATACTTTCATTTCAAGATGCACCATTTTTTACTTCAGACGAGTCATTGTCAGAAGAAAATTGCAAGAAGTAAAAGCTCATTTGTAGAAACAAGAAGTACCTTCCCAAATGTCTACTTTTTATTTATACAAATCACAACAAACGTCAAACCAAATCCATTGGTGCCTAGACAATGAAATCGATGATGATATATTTATGCATTTTAGGAGTTTATTAGCGAGATTCGGCGATATATAGTGTAATGACCCGATGGCAACCAAGGGGAATGGCTAACTAACGAGCATAGTGTAACAAGCCAGATAAAGATATTGAAATAAAGTGTGCTAAATACAATGCCCTGTGTGGGAATCGAGCCCAGAACCCCTGGCTCCAAAGACCGATGCCCTACTGAGCTATAAAGGCTTAAGCCACTACAGCTGGGCCGTAGTAGCAATCAAGGGTAGTAAAAACAGTAGAACTAAGGAATCATATAGTACTATTGCATCGCAAGCCTCTGCATTTTAAACTCCTACCTTAAAAACTGGAAGGGAAAACAATGCAGACAATAAGATAACGTCTCTGGCAGACTTTACGTAATGCCTTTTAAGGGTTATGTGTCTTTAGCGTACTACACTCCCCTCCATAGGTTTGGAAACCGGAAATTTTAATTGGACAATGAATATCAAATCCTGTCAATGTCTGATGTTTAATTTTTTTCCTTACCCCCCCCCCCCCCCCCTATCACACCAAACTAGTTCTTACAAGTTCTTGCCAGTCCTACGAAAACGTCGTAAAACGGGCTCAATCTGGCTGTGATCGGAAAATACGTCTGAAATAATTAGCTTCTTCGTTCTTAAACAGTCTTCAATACGTCCATCTCGTTCGCAGTTCGTTCAGGTCGCACCACGTCGGTGCGCAACGTAGTAGAACGCGTCTCTTAGTCTAGAAGGTCAACATGACCTGATTACAGAACGGTATGGTCGCCATCGAATTTTGAATCGATTCAAAATTCTAAAATCACATTCCCGTCTGAGAACGTTCATAAAGTTCGTAAATAGACCTTAGAAAGTTGCAGCTACGTTTATTTTTTTTTTATCATCTTTCATATTTATTGTAAGCACAAGTCATTTAGATACAATTACAAAGGGCAAAGCGCTGTAAGCATTAGATGTCCCCTTATATAATTAAACAATAAAGTACAATATTCATTTTAACCTGGATGTCACCTGTAAATGGTAGAATGCCTTGCAATGAAACAAAAGATAGGAGGGCTGCTGATATCCTGGGGGAGGGGTAGTATGTTGAAAAATGGAAACAGGTCATAGGCAGGAAAATATTTAGATTCTGGTTGTGTTTTCAATGAGATAATTCGCAACCAGTGAAAATAGATTATCCATTTCTAATTGGGTTAATGATGGATCCCCAAAAAGAAAAAAGTGAATTTTGTCTTGCTGAGTTCTGAAATGAGTTAATAAGTCCCCATATATCCCTAAAGTATCTGTTATTAATTTATTTCTTTGTTGTTCTTTCAGAGGGCATTTGAAAAAGAAGTGGGGAAAAGTTTCAGGGGAACCACATAAACAATTTGATGACTCAACTGAGCTCCAATTGTGGGCTTTGAGCTGGGCTTTTAAAATTAAATCTACCCTGGCTCTATTCAGATAAAGTTCTTGTTGACGAGTTAATTTTAAACAAATTGTTGAAACAACACCAGGGAACAAATTTAATTTAAGTGTTCTTTTAAAAGATGCAATAGTTGGCAAGAGCTTTTGTTCCAAGGGAACAGATCCTGGATCATTCCATAGGTTCATCATTTTGTATATTGGAGACTTATGTGGATAGTGAATAGGGATAGTGAAATCTCGAGATTTCCTTAACAATCTTGCTTGAGGGTTTATGAATGGCCTAAATATATCTGAGATATAAATAGGTGTTAGATCGTTCACGGCTTTGTACATAATTGTTTTAAAGTGAAGGATCCTCCTCTCAGTTAAGGTGGACCAGTTCAAAATGTTAAGTACTTTGGAAGTGCTGGAGCCTGGGAGAGCACCAGAGACTATTAGACCAGCTTGGTACTGGAGACTGTCAAGTCTGTTAAGGTCACAAATAGGAGCACAGTCGTAAAGGATATCACAATAATCAAATAAGGACTGAATATAAGCTGTATAGAGAATATTTAATTGTTTTGATTTTAGTCTACCCTTAAGTGCTTTTAAGGGGTTAAGAGCTGTTTGGATTTTTGCACAGATAGAATTTATATGTGCTGACCCACTTAATTTTTTATCAAAAATGAGGCCTAGGTGTTTATGAATGTCAGTTTTTTCAATTTGTTTATCATTTAAGATAACTGGTGGATAGATTGGATTATTTTTCTTAGAAAAGGTCATTTCTCTGCTCTTTTCTGGTTTAAAATCTAGTTTCCACTGTTTAGACCAGGCTTCGATTTTTTTTAGATCATTTTGAATTTGTATATGAGACTGCGGATTGTTTGGGGAAGTAGGTACAAAGAGGGAGGTGTCGTCTGCGTAAATAAAGCACTCTGAGGTCAGGTTGTCCGGTAAGTCGTTTATATAGAGGAGAAACATCAAAGGTCCGAGAATACTTCCCTGAGGCACAGAACAGTTTATGTAGTTGCTAGGAGAGGTGTCAGAACATTTGCCATTCACAGTTACTTTGACACTCCTATCAGTCAAATAAGATTTTAGAAAAACTAATAAGTTTCCTGAAAATCCATACGCTTTCAACTTTTTTAGAAGAAGGTAATGGGGGACACGGTCAAACGCGGCCGAAATATCCAAAAAAATTGCACGTGTATCATTGCCGTCGCTAAAATTGCGCCAAATTAGGTTTTGGATGGCTAACAGTTGTAACTCATTGCTGTGCCCTTTCAAAAAACCGGACTGGTATTTATACAATAAGTTATTTTCAATTAAATGTTCGTACATCTTAGAGTAGACAATTCGCTCTAATATTTTGGAAGTAATACTGAGAAGAGATATAGGTCTATAATTTCTTATGTCATTCTTATTATTCTTTTTAAATATTGGGCAGATATCCCCTAATTTCCAGTTCTGGGGAAAATTACCTGTGGTCAAAATTTTATGAAAAAGTAAATTAAGTGGCACAGAAATAGTATTCCTGCATAGCTGGAGCATTTTTATTGTAACTCCATCTGGACCATTTGCTTTTGAGGGGTCAAGATCCTTAATTATAGAGATAATTTCCTGTTGGTCAAAGTAAATGTTCTCTAATTTGTTATTGCATCTGTCAGGAAAATGAATATCATTATTCAATGCATCTGGTTCTAAGTGATACATGTTAGAGAAATATTTTTGAAATTCAGTAGCTTTCTCCTGACTGGTCAAACAGGTAGTTCCAGTTAAAGGGTTTTCTATGGTAGGAATAGAGCTACGTTTATTCCGTTCGCACACAGTTAAAAACCAGTTTTGAAGAACGCAGTGGCAACTTGTTTGGTGTGATAGCTACATTTTTGCTAACTCGTTCATAAGCAGTGTTAAATACGTTCTTAATCAGTTTAAACCCGTTTGCAATTAGTTCTACCTCGTTCTCAACACGTCCTCAGATAGTTCAACTCGTTGTTAAAACGTCCTTAGTAGGATTGAAGTACGACGGTTCCGTTCGTAGTACGTCCAGCTCGTCGTTAGAATTGTCACTCGTTCTAATTGTAGAACGTCACGACCACGAGAACATTTTGAGCATTGTCTAAGTTCTAGAGGACCTACCCGTTCGAGTACATTCGATGAAGTTTGTAAATAGATCCCAAATGGTTCTCAGTAGGTCCAGTCCGTTCGTACACAGTTAAAGCCCGTTTTCGGGAACGTAGTGAGAACTAGTTTGGTGTGATAGTAGGGTTAATTACAAACATTCGGAAAATGACTTTGAAGATATTTTTAATCGTCTTATATAAAAAGCCTTTAACACGCGATCCAAAGGCATCCTTCTTCAAAGGACTTCATTTATGCTCAAATATATACTTGTAAAATACCCTTGCAGCAAGGATGTCCAAAGGGACATCTCAAGTTGTTCAACTAAGAGGGGTTAACCTTACCAACAAGTCTAATTTGTCTCTGACGGATTGAAATTAGTATATACAAAAATACGTTACCTTCAGGTGTAATTTGTCTCTGGCGGACTATGTCGCTCTTGTTCCCAACTATGATGATGGGCATTTCCCTGGAGATATGTTTTCGTATAAACTTTGTGTGTTCTTTCGTTTGCTTGAAGCTCGACTTGTCAGCCACTGAATAGACGATCACATAGGCATCAACGCCACTATATTTTGAGAACTCCTGAAATAACGAAAAATACTGAAAGGGCTCCTAAAGCTCCTAAAGTTCATAATTTGAAGAAGAATGTTTACTTTCAAAAGTGTTACAACCAAAATGATGTGATCACCTTTATGTAATTAATGTATTCACTTCATGCATTTTCAACTTTTCATGTGCAAACTCTTCAAAAACACACCGTCAGAATGTGTGTTTTGCTACAATATAATACATTTGTCACATAAACGTTAAGATTATAAACACCCCCCCCCCCCCGCAACACCGACCCTATAACAGTTACTGTCGTATTGACCTTGACCTGGACTAGTTGATTATCAATTACACCCTATGTAGACTGTGCCTCCAAAAAAACTCGGTGCGGATAACAAGAGTGCTCGTTTAATAAGCAAATGACATTTTTGAATTTAAATGCCTGACATTTTTAAAACAAAGTCATGTTGGGTTTTCACTTATGTCCATACGTACATGCGTGCACCTGACGTCGACCAACTTGCAAAAATAGTGAGGGAATTCATTCTATAGCGACACAGTTTGCATTAAACCTCTCCCAGACCCAAACGTATACATTTTGATAGTGTTGTAATGTACATCATTCTCAGCCAGTTCATTCCATTGTGTTTTTGCTACCTAAGTAAGGTCTACCTGGTGTTAAATCACCGTCTCATTGTTCCCAGATATAGTTTACCTGACAAACCATAATCAGTCATTGTCGAATGAAGTGCGAAAACATACCACAATGCCGTAAAGTAATGAGAGGAAGATATTTCAATGGCGCGACGTTGAATGATAATGGATGGAAAAATAATGAAAATAGTAACTAAGACACTGACTAGACCGATCGGCGTCCATTCAGAGAGCTTTATTTCAAGAGCTGCAATAACAAGACAGCCGATCACAATTTTTGTTTTTTTAGCTGCGACCGGTCGTTTCCCGACTTTCGATTTGCCTGACAGTGTCTCATGACTTATTCTCATTTTATAGGTAGTAATGAATAAAGGAAGGAGATAAATGTTGTTGTGGGAGAATGAATCTTTGGGAAATCAATGATAATCAAATCGTTAATCCTTTTACTTAATCGTTTTCAATATTGATTTGTGAGTTCAACCAAGCTAATAAATACACCATTTGGATTTATTCCGGAAATTTTGAATTCAGACACAACCATAAAAACAGTATTAACCAGGAATTGGAAACGAGTTCAACGTCAACTAATTGATATGGAGGTTAATGTATTTCGGGGCGATTTAATTTGGCATCGTGCGAAACTACCTTAAGCTAGCATTGCTTTGAGGAACGTGAACGTTGAACATAAAAAGTATGGTTCCCGGGGGACTACTTTCCACATCATGTACTTAACTAGCTGGGAAGTAGTTCTTTTTGGACTCTGTATTTAGAAAGAGATGATAATCTCTGACGGTTATAATAGCAAACGTTCACGTTCTCCAAAAAACGTGTAGCTCCATCCCTCTTAAAGACTAATGACTTACTCATAATCTTACCTCATTGCTAGGTAAAACAAAGAAGTTTAGCGTGGATTCTTTTTCATCTAGTTGTACTGCGACTGATTTTTCGAAATATTCATCTGGAAATAAAATGAAAACTTAATTAGTCAAATGTCACACTGAAAAGCTCTTGATAAAAGGTAAACGTGATCAAAAGACGTAGATTTGTGCATCATAGAAATAGCAGAGCCATGTACATTAAAGATAGAAATATGGATATCTCAATTAAAAAACTAGTTAGTTTATGAATGTTTTGATCATTCGAGCAAGTCATGAGGTTTAAGAGAATGTGGGACCATTCGTGTTATTTCATAGATGCTAATAAGTATACACCGACACAGGCATCAAAGTCTACTTAACGCAAAATAACATCATCCGCATATGCCAATTAATTATCTAAAAGGCTAAGCTTACTTAATTACCATGTGTATGTTGTTCATGTATACATTATTTTATGTCCTTCCCATTCGTTTTACTTAACTTCTTATAACTAACCTCTGCGCCAAGACTTGTAAACAAAGAAGTGTTAGATTATATAAGGGTGGTTGTTGACATATGCTTTTAGTTGTGGCGTGTTTTGCAGATATTGTGATTGATGTGATTTCTGTGATTAACGTTGGTGATGGGTAATTCGGGATGATTACACTGATACTCATTGAGATTGAATTGCTATTTTTCATCAATATACAGTCTGAAATGATGTCCTATAGAGGTAATATCTTCCTCAATAGGTACATGATCAACCATGACTGTCTTGTATCTATCGTGAATATGCTAGAAGTAATGGCAGATATATCAACATTTTCAGTTCCTTGGTCAACAAGAATATTAGTACTAGTACTAGTAAAAAGGGCGATTTTTAAAAGTTTGTGTCCGATGTGAGTACGCGAGCGTCCAAAACATATAGGAAAACATCCACGCCAATTAGTAAGACTAGGTACACTCAGCCTTGCGTTTTTTCTCTCCGTTTCTCTCAAACGTGACGTTCCAGAACCGAATTATCATAAATAAAGTGATGATTTACGACACCATGACGTAAAATGAGACCAATGTCGTAATTATGACTCTGGATTACTGGTGTAGACGTTTCATTATTGAGACAAGTTAATCGACTCGAATCTTTAACACTTGTTCATGTCAGACTAAAACGACTCCCAAAATGCTACCAATATACCTACATTAAATGACACAATTATTAAAAAGCCTTTTATGTATACGTAGGCCATATTAGAGACTTAGAGTAAGAATCGCGTGAGAGCTGCGAACTACGGGATGAACTACGGGATGGATGCTATCATTAATGGATAGATCATTAGATGCTTTCTATAAATGACCGTGCCATGACTTCGAGTTGTATTTCACCTCTTTTACTCTGATTGATTAAGTAAACCCACATCCTCTGCATGCTTCTGTTAATGGAATAATGGCTCAACGTCAATTACTCAAGATATACACCCATATCTCCTTCACCTGAGTTTATGATTACGAACGTCAATGCTCTAAAGGACTATAATGCTATGAATGATAGTTCTCGGGAAACATGTTCGAATTCAGCGACTCCCAACAAATGTTTCATACCTCGGGATACTGCGTGGCTAGACGTGGGCGGATATACAATGCTCCAAGCTTTCAGTATTTACTATATGTCTAGACGCAGCCGAAGTATTTTGTTGACCCTACCCCATCCTATTTGATCGTAATCAACTATGATCCCCAAGTATTCACAAAAAGTATACAGGGTGTCATATAAGTACCGCCCCTACTGCTACAGCTAAATATATGGTACCTACTGTGATATACCATTGGAAAGATCATCCTCAGTTATATTAACTCACCAACTCTCAAGTATTTTGGATGGAATATTTTCATGATGTCCTTTGTAGTTAATGTACCCTCCTTAAGCGTCAAAATGAGAAGGATATGACCTCGGGAATACGTCAAAAAGTTAACCTTTTTCACATTCCACTTGTTACAAAAGGGTTTTCACCACTTTCCTTGCACCTCTATTTTCTACACATTTAATCCTATCCAGAAATAGGTTTAATTCATTGCCATATATGTTGTCATCTTTGGGTCCTTATGGCTTTTCTTATACCATGCCATTATTGTGCCAATTATGCCAAATTGCCTTGTTTTTAGGCCTATGGTCACCCCAATTGTTACAATGTAAAAATTTGTGAGATTGATTGACATGTGTCAGATATACGCCAATCAACGTATGTATGTATGTATCTTTTATTCCCGATTTCAAATCGGATTTCATATAAACTAATTACATTGTTAGATTAATACAATAAACATAAAACATAAACAAGGTCACAACATATTTACAATCTTTAAAAGTAATATAAAAATTTCAGATTACAAGGTTAGATCTTCTGCAAGTTTATGTAAATAAGGGTACGAGACTAATCCCTGAGTCTGATATCACTATATGAATGTATCTCAGGATGAGCTCTAAGTTATAGATCCAATGATAGATCATACTTGGTATATATCTTGATATCTTGGTTTTACCTGTTGAGGGGGAGGGGACTGATTTGACACCCTGTATATAAACAATTAGTTATGGGCAATTTAAATTCACAAATAACCGTTGTACCGCACCTGTTACGCTGTTGCACTCGACCGGACCGCACCTGTTACGCTGTTGCACTCGACCGGTCCATTGCTGCATATACCAAGGGTGCTTGATTGAGAGCAGTGAAATAGGGACGCATAAGCCCCAAAGCAATAATTATGGCAATGAGACCAAGACCTATTAGACTAGTTATTAGAAATCCCTTTGGGCAGAATTTGATATATTAACACCAATTCCTCGCTCGAATGCCAATTAATTAATAATTACCTAATTTAGGATTATGACAATTAAACTTGAACCAATGTATACAAACCTTACATCGAGTTACTGAATGGAATTGCCGATATGTATCCAACTTCTGATCGATGCATATTTTAGATTCCTATCATACTATAATGGTAACGTGTTTATCCATAATATTATATCATATCTCTTAGTTCGTTGGTGTATACACTACAGTATAAGAGGCCTGTGGGTACTGAGTTCCGTAACATTTTCAATATAACCCCTGCCTGGGCTGTTAGTTTTCAGATCCGCCCCTGTTGTGTACCCCCGTCTACTTCACTTTGTGTAGGTGAAGTACACAGGGGTGGGGTACACAGTCTTGGGACAAGACTACCAAAAAACGAGTGTGGCCTCAGATATCTCACTCCTATCTAGACTATATACCATACTATATATGGTATATGTAGGTTACATAGATGAACTTTTATGTACATTTTCTTAAAGTACGTACACCAAGGCACCTGCTATATTTTCTCAAGGCATCCGCGCGGGATAACAAAATCTCATAATCCTAAAGCTAGATCAGGTGAGACTAAGAGAAAGACAGCGGGTGGGGGTATCTGCTTCAGGGACTTTTCCTTCGAAGACAATGAAATGTAGTTGATATGGCTACTTAACGCTGACGTCACATAGCTTTCCCAGCACAAACCAACAAATCATATTGTGCTCAAAGTATTGCCATTTACCTACCTTTAAATCGCTATCATTTCGTTGTACTGTGCATCTGGCTGCGAGACTTCTCCTTAGGGAGAAAATGGGATACTATAGTTGTTCCACCTACCTTACAGAACCAACCAACAATATTATGATTGAATTATACTTTTGTCGTTTACTTTCAAAATCGTGCGGTAAGCAACCATTCTAAACGCCAAAACGCAGTTAATCCTTGCACCATAAAAAAGGTACATATCATTTTTACCCATTAGAGTAATGAAGCAAGCTATGTGTACATAGGAAAATGTTTTGTGCAATTAACATGCTCATTTCCCAACTACTGGATATCAAATCGTGTACATAATCTAATGATAGATTTGCGACAAAGCTATAACTAATGCTGATCGTTGAGAATCCCAGGAGATAAAATCGGAATCTTTTAGATTATCACATCAATCATTAATAGCTTTATTTGTTTCCCTGACAGTTTACTTACAGATCTTTCTTATTCGTGCTGAAGAACACAGCTGTGTTTTTCTACATGAATGGGTGATCTCCGATCAATTACAGCTATCAACGAAGCTTATTCGAAACGATAACGAACGTCCCCGTTTCAAAATGGCAGACGGTTTGAAAGAAATCTAAGTTTAAAAGACAACGCAATTATACGTCTGTCATGGGCTATAAAGAAAGCATTGTCTTGCTGTTTAAAGAACAGGTTACGTCCTATAACTGAGCTAAAAGGATACTTTCGTTTATTTATGGCTCAATAAATACGATGTATTGATAACCATCTTTATTTACTAAAGCCTCTGTTTATGATAAAGCAAATTTATGGCCTTGCAAGAACATTGCCCCTGAGCCTTGTTATAAGACGCTTAATAAAATAGTTAAATCAATTGATAAAAAGATAAATAATTAAAAATAAGTTTAATTATTTGAAATATAAAGAACAAATGAACAAGAACAAATAGAAAGTATGTATTTTTAATGAAAGTTTCGATATATCGTTCGTGTTATTTCTCCAAATGTATAATTGGCTTCTGTTTGAGAAAATTTCAAGTATCGTTTGTGATTAATGAACATATATCCTCGAGGTTTTCAAGATCCGTGTAATAATAGAAACCCTAATTAGAGTTCTGTCTCTGAAATATTTCATATTGCAGTTGTGGCTGTATAACGATATTGAAACATTTCCTATTTAATAATTGTGGGATTTGTGAAAATACTTTTCGATTATGGCGGATCCATGGGCCCAAAAGAGACCAAAAAATTATTTGCCCAAAAAATGTTTAGGGCCTTATTTAAGTGGTCCTTTTTGGCTTCGCTTGGCCTTTTTAAATTATCATAAAAGGGCTTTAAATTTTTTTATTTTTTTATTTGAAAGCCCCTCCCCCATCCCCACACCCCTCTTGTTAACTTCTGGATCCGCGAGTGTGTTTATAGCATTGCAATTATATAAACCACGACCACGCTTAGAGTATTGGAATCCAGTAAGTCAATTCTTTATTTCAACAATGAGATACCAAGTCACTTCATCTGAATAGAAGCAATCAAACG